CTAAGAACAACACACAGAATGCTATCAGCAGCATCCATGTGCGGCTCTCTAAAATGAATCCTCTTTACCCCAATTATAAGGTCAGGTTATGTTAGTTAATAATTAATGCAAAAGTACAGTAGAACTTCGGACAAGAAAGCGTTTCAGACCTTGAAAATGCTTTGTCATATACGGAAATTCGTCAAAAAGAAATTTAAATAAGAATGTGGCAGTTGGGGCAGGAACTGAAGAAGACATTTCTCCAAAGCATGAACAAGATTCGTTGCAACAAGATGGAATTGGCTCTCCTCTGAATTTTGTTGAAAGAACTACTGCATGTGTTCACCATTGAACTTCACTCCTCGGATTTGAATAGACCCGCCGGATGACATAGCGCACACTGGAGTGCATCCTGCCTATGCAGGGTGTACTCCTGGAGTGCATCCTGCCTATGCAGGGTGTACTCCTGGAGTACGATTTTGGGGGAGTACGCTGTGCCGCCCACACCAGTCCCTCATGTGGGGAGATTACCCAGCCCACTGACAACATGGTGCCTTGACAATTCCGCACTTTTTCAATTCACCGCCGCTCTGCTAGGGGACTATTTGCTTCCACTCCCCACTCCCATGAGTGACTTCATAAAAATCACACTTTTCAATAGGAATTTCGTCTTGCAAGTGGTGCAGGAAGGTTAAACTGCATAACATTCATTTGAAATTTGAACTAACCTGAACTGCACTATTTATTTGAAAAATAAGCTCTTATAATATGCATCAGGTTATTTTGCCATAGAAGCCTTCCCAGAAACTATATGCTAAATCATTGCAATTGAAGCCACTTCACTGGAAGCCACTGGTGGCTCAGAATAGAGCGAGTGGCGCTCGCATAGTGGCGTGGAAGAGGAAGCCCTGTTTTACGTAGCTCTGATAAAAAGTTGAGCTGAAAGGGCGCGTCAGAACTGAAAACATCAGGACATGGGTGAAGAGCGCGGCCATGTTTTACCGCTACGTCCCTCTATATGTTACCCGTCAATACTGACATCTATGAAACTCCCAAACAAACAAATTTTACCTCACGTGACTAGTCTGGCATTCCAACCAAGCCATAATGGTTCCAGGTGCGCTTAACCACAGTAAGAAAAAAAGCTAGAAGACGGAATCTGTACCTTTCTTCCTTGAATTCATATCCAATACAGTAAATGAGTAATGGGGTGAACTTAGTAGTTTGAGGATAGAGGGAGTCAGTGGTGCTAAATCGCCGCACCCGCTTAAGAAGCATTCGGGTCTATGCTGAATCCACAGAGGGAAATTCCGTGGAAGGTGAAATCCACACTGATGATTAAAGCCTTGCTAAATCATATACACTTACACTTATTATATACTTACAAGTCGAGATAAAAATGTATTTCTTTGGGATAGCATTTCGTGAGGTTTTTCCAGAGCAGATAAAACAAATTTATACACAGTTTGCTGATGGGACTTCAAGAATGAACAGCTATTCAGGTGTTTATTAATGAATATAGATTATACAGTGAAAATCAGACATCGCCCATATTAGATGAAGGTTTCAGCTCATTTGTGCTGGCACCAAGGAGCATATTGTTTCAATCTTCAGCTAAAGTAAGAGTTACTTGATAGAAAACTTCATTCTTGGAAGTACAATCGCGTCTGAATACTGCATATATTATTGTAAATTTTATCAACCAGCATTCAATGCCTGTAGTCAATGTAGAGTACGTCACATAATTTGGAAGGAGAAGCGAATTTTCGTCACATCCGCCAGCGAAAAACGTGTCTTCATCAGCTATATATAAGGCCAAAAACACAAAACTCCCTCGGTTACAAGAAGAAGTACTGGAAAAACGAAACGAGGCCAATTTATTTTTCTTTTCAATCCACGCGAGGAAATGCGTCAGTCGTTGTTTTTTTTAAATTTCAACTGCGTGGATTTCGAAGGAATTACCTCGATCGAGCTGTCAGCAATACATGAGAAAGTACTAAACGTTTTCGGCTTGCTTCAACATTTTCAGTTGGAATTGTACCATTTCAGGGGAAGGATCGAGCCAATATATAGTATACTTTTTTTCTCTTGAAGGGAAAACTCAGAAAAAAATTCTCGAAGATTCCAATTCGGCTTTCAGCAGCAATCCCTTTTTCGCAAGTGGCTTTGCCCACACTTATCAAAATGAATGCATTTGTCTTCATGACATTGACATCATTATTAGTTGTCACCTTATTCATCAACGACTCTGTCGACTCACTCAACACAACTGCTGCTGGTGAGCATCACTTTCAGCGAATTTCACATTTTGACGGTGTATATCGTCTTCAAATTATATAGGACGGTTTGGATCTTCGCGAATTAAGATTTCCAGCGCGGATGATAAAAATTAAACTGAAATAAACGTTGCCAATTTTTTTTTTACCAAAAGGCAATAGAATAGTTGAATGAGTCGAAATAAGTTTTCCAGGCATAATTCAAAACTCCCGAGTGAAATTTAAAAAATACCAATTGTGATGCTCCACAATTTTGGAAATAAGTCGACCAAATCCACAGACGGATGACATCCGGGTGATTCTTTTTGTATTTCGGATGATCAGAAAAAAAAAAGATTAATTGGAAAACATTTTGATTTACAGAGTCTGATGGTGTCATTGCTGGACAGCATCAGAGACCACTAGTTAAAGCTGCCTTTGGAAGGATTCTTACTGCGGATGACAAAGACTCCTCGTTTATGGTTGGAATGACGGCAATGTTTCAGGATGGTACCGACGGAGTAGCCGACCCTGGTTGCCTCATATCAGAAAGGTGAGATATGGGATTTTTTTTACCAGCATGCATTAAATTATGGTTCAATCTTATACCAAGTTGTCAATACCTGTTGACTCCATGAGATAAATAGCTTTTTTGCCTTGGCTTTTTTGCTTTAGTCCTTCCAAAGGATTTATTTCTTACTGAGTTCCTTAAGATACATGGGTTGAACAAGAATATTTCTTTTCTCAAGCTGGGAGGGATGTGAAAATGAACCAGACTTATACAAAAGATGAAGTGTGTATTATACATTCCCCTGAACGACAAAATCAAGCAAGCTCCAGACCAAAAATAACCCAATTTTTGCTGTGACCCCACACCCACAGTATATAGGTGCACACCAGGGTCACAACTGGAGCATATGGGATATTCTGGGGGTACAATTTTTCTTTCCTGTAGAGGAAATGTTGCTACCATTCCAGGGCTACACTTGGTGCGCAAATGTGAAATAAGATGAGCATCACACAAATGCACCAACTGTAACCTTGGCGTAACTTATAAATGTGATGCTGAGTAATCCTGGTGTGAACACACAATTGGTGCACACTGGGGATATGCATGTGCAACAGAAGAACTTTGGTACACTTCAGGTGCACAGCAAGGTCACAAACAAATCCCCAGTGTGCACCAATTTCCCCACTCGGGTGGATGTGTGAGGATGCGGTTGTGATGATGGGATGTGGGAAATATTCTTTGAACCTTGTGAATGCTGACAAGCAGCAAATAAAACTTGCACATCAATCAATTTTGACCAACAGAAGAAGAAGCACGCACCAGTTGCAAGAAACTCTTCCATATTCTGCTTGAAAGGTTCCACATGGCTTTCATCAGATTGCGCCACAACCAGTTCAGCGGTCTTCTCAATCTCTGCAATAAAAAATTCTATTCAATAACACACCGCAAAAGAAAGGCCAAGAAAAAAGTGCTTCAAATTTCAAACTCACGCAGCATTTCCAGCTTCAATGCTTGAAGTGTTTGGCTGATGTCTTCAAAGTTGATATCTGCAGCTCTGGAAATATCCCCAGGCTCAGGAATCGGAAGCTTGGCCACTGCTGCTCCTTCACCCTTCTCCCTGTTCATCACCTTCACGACCAGAAAAAAGAATACACAGTCGAACACCATCAAGAAAACCCCCCAAAAAGCCGCCACCCTCGGCAACCGCCACTTTATTTTGAAAAACAAATCTTTCCTAACGATCGAAGCATTGGAAACCCCTTCAAGACGCCATTCACCCCCATTATTGCCAACTGAAACATGCTCCTGCCAATTAATTCGGTCTTCGATAGCCCACCTTCAAAAGTTACTACAAAAAAAAAAACGAACACAAAGATGATATAATTTACTTCTTTGGAAAATTAGCTAGATATAATTTACGCATATCAGGGTCATCCTGATTATTTTCTAGAAGAATAAGACTTTTATTTCCTAGAACACTTGATATTTACATATTTTTTTAGCTTTTCTGATGAACCACCAACCCACTTTAAATGGCCAACCCCGTTAAAACGCCACATAACCTCAAAAAAAAATGGTGGCGGCTTTTCGAGGTTCGACTGTACGAGTTAACCAAGCATTGATATTTAGAAACCAAGAGGGGTTTTCTTCTCGCCATTTTACAGTACTATATATGCTCACCTGTACAGTCTCCCTGACTAGATAGTGCAGAAGGGTTAAGGATTTGTCCACACTTTTCACATCCCGCAGTTTCTCGAGAATGTCCAAGTGGAACCCATCAGCCTGTCCCCGGTTGTGGTTCCCACCGTTCATTCTGTTCCCCATGCTCAGGACTAGTCCGAGGACTCTGTGCAAAGACTCGGAACTCACCAGCTCCTGAAAATGAATACATGTACAGTGAGGTCATGACATACTGTATATGGACACCCCTAACATGCGCGCAATTTCACTCATGGACACTTCAAAATAATAAAAAATTACCCGACACCTGGAAAATTCTTCAAGACATGGATACTTGGCTACAACTTTCCAAAAGAATATTAATGAAACATTTTGATAGCTCATCTTGAACAAATTGAGCAACTGCCATTGACATCAAGTCAAAATAAAATTGAACCTCAATAATAACTCAAACCTTCCCAAGTCAAATACCTCCCTGAGTCAAATTTTCTTCAATTCCCTGTCTCAATCTCCTTAGAAACCATGCTGTCACAATATAATTAGATGAGTCCTCAAACAGGCTAAGAATACCCTGTTCTCAAATTGACTTTCACATTCCTAGATTCCATTTGGTAACAACTATAACTGTTAGACCAAATCATCTTTACCACTGTCTGGTCACCAGTCAGCACTCACATGCATTATGTGCTCTAGTTTACTTTCTATCCTATGCATGGTCATTTAACTGTTTTTCATCTGTGAATCATCTATAAATAAGTGTTCAAACCCTCTTACAGCACACATTGCTGGTTTGCCTTGTACCCATGCTGCATTGTTTGGACTTGTATTAAAGACACTCATTATCAGAATTGAGAAGTGATGTCACTTGCTTTACCCCATCCTTAAGATTAACACTTCTGGACATTAAGTTTATCCTAGTGAGTAATCATTGAAGCAGATACAGTAGAAGGAATAAAAGCAAAGAAGACCTTCAACGCGATTTTTTTAAAAACTTGATCAACCTTTGTCAGTTTAGGATAACAATGTATTAAAAATCTAACCACAGTACTTTGAATGCTCCCTCCCTAAACCTTCATAACACAAATGTTCCAGAGGCCTTTCGACAGTTATTTTATTGACAGGAAAGAGAAAAGCGATAAAAATTTAACTTGATGTGTAGTGAAATATTAAGGGGAAATGAACCCTTGCCAGCATCCTTCCAACAAATTCAAGAAGCAATTTAGAGTGCAGAAAATAACCAATTACAATTTCATGTAATTCTTTCTTTCCCACAAAAAATTTTTTTTTCCTCTACTTGAAAACTCCCTAACTTGCATTTTGTGTATAATCCCTTGAAGTTTGACTTCAAGAGGTTCTATTGTATATCGTATCATGAATTTACTTGAATTTATTTATCAAAACAGGCTAATTTTTTGCTTGTATGTTCAAGGCCTTTTCTGAATGAATGAACAGAACACTTCATTTGCCGCTTTTCAGCGTTCACAAGGTTCAATCAAGATTTCCACATAGAGATTGCTGACGTGCAAAATGGTGAAGTCTACAATTGAGCAAATCAAGATTTCCACAACCAAACCCCCTTTCCACCCAACCCAAATCCACTCAATGACATTTAATCACTTCAGAGCCTTTTCTGTAAACTGAATACTGTACTGTACATTTTTGCAATATGGGTGCTTGCATTTTGCCTTTTTCACTCCTTTTCATGCCAGATGCGTGGTTTCCTTCTGCGCAGTTACCTATTTTCTGAGTTTAAGGTTTTAGAAAATTCTGAATGTAAGTTTCCAAGGACATTTTACAACTTTGGACCAAACAAGCAAAGGGATTAAACATGAAGTCCGTGTGAAAACGTGATCTGCCAGGACATAGTCTGAGAAGTATAATAATAACGTCCACATGCTTGGGCCCCAGATTGGTATATGAACAGAGGTCAGTAAGCCAATGAGGCTCAATTCAGCAATGATAAAGGGGATTCGCAAAGTATTCACTCACTGCGCACACCAGCTTGAGGTTGTTCAGTTTTCCCTCGACATTCGTCAAGGTCTCTTGAAATTTGGCTTGGAAAGTGAGACAGGCGATTCTCTCGGCGAAGTTTGGAATTTCTGACAGCTCAAACAAGAACCTACAGAGATTGAAAAAATACAAGTCATTCTCACGAAATCTTGCAATGAGAACTCGAAACTCACTGCTCAGGCTTATCCAAAGGCACCTCGGGATTCTCAGCCAAATGGCACTTGATCATGTCCAGCTCGGTCTTGGAAGCACGCTGTCATGGAAAACATAAGATACCATTTATGATCATCAGGTTGAGGTTCTCCGAGTTATACAAGATTATACAAGGCACATCACAGAAGGGCATCTCAGCGCATGCATGAAAAAGTACAGTATTAGCAGCCACTTGACCTCATCACCATACAGAGCCAATGAATTCTGCTCTTTTAAAAATTCTTTAAAAATTCGCTCTTTTGGCAATCGTTCAATCTTAGATTTGCTCTTCTGATGATGTGCGCTCGCATACATAATTTTCGCACATACATTGCACAAATGAAAAGTCAAATTCAAAAATGGATGACAGCAATACTTGTTTGTAGATTCTCGTGATCGAATTATTGGACAAGAGCTAGGCAAGGAAGAATTCGCAAAAACGAAAAGACACAGCTCTTTCCAGTTACAGTGGAATCTCGTTACAACGAACTTCCAGGGACCCGAGAAAAAATTCGATATAATTAGATTCTTGATTATTTGGTCGGGAAGGATTGCAATTCATGGGGAACAGGTGCTTTGAAGTATCTCCATAATAGATATGCGAAGAATCCCCACAATTTTCATTATACTTTGATCAAATAATTGAGCATCTCAAAATTTGAAACAGAATTCTCTCATTTTAGAGTATTTAGACCTTCACGCATTTCTCAACTTCCCTTAAAAAACTTTCTGAAGTATGCAAGCCAGAAAAAACCGAAAATACATGTGTAAGAAGAGCATTTATTCATTAAAAGCGGCATGCTCCTTGACATGGAGTTGAATCCCTTTGCACATAATTTTTTAAAATTAGTAATTCCTATACTTCAAATTAAAGGTACAGTAGCTTCATTTCGATCAGAGCTTCATTCTTCCTGCAATGCAAAATTTCCTGCAGAAGACTAGCATTAAAATTTTTGAAGGTTTTTCAATTATGCACAAGTTATGTATTCTTACATAGTACCAATTAGTAAAAACGTATACTGCCCATAATGCACACATAAATGAAGGCAAATACTGTACATGAAATATTCGCTATACACAGTACTGATTATAAAGGCAAATTAGTTTCTTAAAACGACGTTTTTATAATATTATTCCATAAAATCCATATTATCCCATAAAAAACTACCGGGGCCAAGAAAAAATTCGTTAAAACGAAAAATTCATCATAACAAGATTCGTGGTAACGGCATTATTTTTACTGTATTATTTTAAAGTACGGTAAATGGAATTGAGACAACAAATACAGGCGTTAATGGGCTTCTAAAACACTCACCAAAACATAGATTGCCTGGAGCATCTCATGATTCATCACTGAGGTATCGAACTCATACACAGCTGCAATTGAATAAATCACAGAGAATAAATTATCTTTCAAAAGCGTGCTCAATTGTAGACTTCACCATTTTGCACGTCAGCAATCTCTATGTGGTTGCTCTTGATCATGATGCCAACATTCTGAGATCTCTTCCCATCCAAAACTTTCGCGGCCTGTACGAGGATCGATCCAATCAATCAATCAACAGGTTCGTGCGAAAATTGAGTCCAAACGGACTTTCGCGGAATGCGAATATATACTCACCCTGACTTTAGTTTGTTCCGTTTTCACAGGTTTCTCGACAGTCTTGGGAGCCTTCACTTCCCGGGAAAACAAAGTTTCAAACTCATCCACATCATTCAAAGGGGTTTCATCAAGGTATTCCCAGAGTAGGCCATCATTCCTGCAATGAGAGAAAATTCTCAAGAAAAGTTGCCTCGAGGCAAGGTGATTCACCCAATATTAATATTACAATAATTATTGTAATGCATTTACACCATACCAAGTTGTTGGGCATACACGCCAAATTACCATAAAATACTTGTTTCTTAGAATTAAAGGAAATATTCCCCCCTCCTCAAAATCGCAGTGCCATGAACATCCTGGCACCAGAGCATCTTCGACAAGAACTTCTTCTATTCTGATTGTAAAGTAAAACCTGTTAAAGGTTACATATTATGGATAGTATATAAGCTGCATCCTTTTCATACTCTCATTAGATCAGTTCAGTTTATCTGAGTTATTCCAAGTTATCCACATTATTACTAAAAGCCGGAGCTTGTTGAGTTGTTATTCATTATACTGTGTGAAATACACTTTATCCATTAAACTAGGAATTCTGAAGCGGAATCCCGGCCCTGTCCTGGACTGACTAACTTGTTTTATTGTCCAACAATCAAATACTGTACTTGACACTAACTTATATTGAAGACATTTGTCCTCAATACAAGTGTCTTAGTTCAAGACACGCACCAGAATTTTTGGAGAAAAATTTTGGCAAAAAAGATATACCCGCATAAGATTTCTACCCTATTTGTATACAAAATTACAAGACTCGTGTCTGCTATAAATCAATTTTTAGTGAACTCAGAAAAAAGATGATACAAATTAGCCAAATGGATATAGTTTAGTCTACACTGTAGATTAATGTAAGTTACAGTGGGGCCCCGAGATTTGGACGTTCGGACCTTGTATAAATTTATATCTATGTCCAAATGTCCGCATGCTGGATCACGTTTAACCATAGACTTCAATGGGAACTTATTTAATTGGTTCTTCTGTGGATCAAAATTCGGGAATAACTTCCCCAAAAATTGATTTTTTTCCATTAACTTCATTCAGAAAATCGAAGAGAATCTGATTTTTGGCATAAGAGGAGCCCAAAAAAAAGAGAAGAAAAAGCACAATTCTTGCCATACTACACTTGCACAGATGATGGGAAGAAACTGAAAAAAGTAGGACAAAAGTAACCTGTTCTGGATTATGAATTAGAGGAAACATATATTACAGTAAAATTTATTTTCTATTTCCGTGAATATTGATAAAATACTGTAGTTAAATTTGTTCAAGAGATTTGAAAAATTTGAACAAGAAATTTACTGATTTTTTCTAGAAATGTTGGCAGTGTCCGCATCTCGAGACGCTGTCCGGTAACTTTACTGTTGAGCAATTTTGTTTCAAAGTGTCCCTGCGTCGAATCGTCCATATGTCAGGGGCCCTGTTACAATTTTTCCTTTCTTTATTACTGTAGAATGAAAATGTCATTCACATTGGAATACTGTATAATCACCATCTCGAGGATTCCTTCATAAGCATTTTTTCAATCATTCAAGTGCGACGCGCAAGAACCCTTCCGAAAATTTGCCAAAAATTGTGTACCAGCATATAAGACGGACATCAAGCTATTTTCCAGCAGTTTCTTTCTTTTAAATAAAAAAATAGAAAATTCGCGTGGTCCTCGTTTAAATACAGGTACTGTATATACGTCGTGTTCATGACTCACGTGAGAGTAGGAGAAGAGTTCGGAGCAACGATGACGGGTTTCTCCTTGGGCACACTGGGGGTGATGATGCGGTTCCAGTACAAGGGCCGCATGGGGACCTTGGGCTTGATTGCAGGTTTCCTCGCGACTGAAATGATTCAAATGCATCTTTCACGTCGGGAATCCAATTGCAAAATCGAGAATAAAGACAACAAAACAAAACAAAACAAAAAAAAGCTTTTTTCTACACAGGTCCTCCAGGGAGCTCCGCCAATTTATACAATTCACTCCCCGGAGGCCCCATTAATACTGAGCAAGCAAGCACATGCAATACCTGGCGCTACTGGTGTGCGAGGAGCTGGTGTGGTGTGATGGATGTGTGCACGACAGCCAAAGCAGAAAATACCAAACAAGCATGAAGCCAAGCGCAAAGCTGGGAAGCCAAACCGACTGTAACTTACCGACTGGGTTCCCCAACCAGCCACCAGGTGGCGGAGGAGGCAACGGAGCTGGTCCACCAGGCATAGGGGGAGGAGGAGGAGGAGCTCCCATTCCAGGCAGCGGTGGTGGTGGTGGTGGACCCCCAAAGCCTGAAGGTGGTGGAGGGGGTGGGGGTGGTGGTGGTGGTGCTCCTCCAAACATTGGAGGAAACGGGGGTGGTGGTGGTGCTCCTCCAAACATTGGAGGAAACGGAGGAGGAGGTGGTGGTGGAGGAGGAGGAGGAGGTGGGGGAGGTATGATTAGTCCACCACCACTTAGGGGAAATGGTGGTGGGGGTGGAGGAGGTGGAGGTGGTGGTGGGGGTGGAGGTACACCAATCACAGGTACACTAGTAGATGATGATGACGACTGAGAAGGAGGAGAAGGCAAATGTTGTGCTGAAGGAGAAGGTGGGATTTCTGCACTGGATGAAGGGAGAGGAGCAACAGTGGCCAGAGGAACACAAGTGGTGCCAGATGAGACCCTCTGTGGAGACCTTCTGGGAAACTGGTCCACAAACTCCAACGTTTGCACAGCCACTTCACTTGAACTGGGGGGATCAAGCTCTGCCTTGACTTTTTCAGCCAGAACCTGGGAAACAAAATCCTTGTCAATTTCGCATGTTTGAACTTCAGTTTATGAATAGAAGGGGTCTCGCAAATGTTCTAGCAATAGAAATTGAAACAACATACGATTGAGCTCTATAAAAAGAACACCTTTTGGCACAAGAAAAAAGTCGGCCCTGTTTGACATATTTTTCAGGAAATCGTTGCAAAAGTCACCCTGGCAGCTTTCTGCTCTTCACTCAAAAGATGTGGCGCCCATCTTGCAGATTTTTTTGGTGTGCACCAGCTTTCCTTTCAAAAATCTTGAAATTGACAATATATTAATGCCAAAGGTTGCTGCATCATTCGATGATGAATTCTGCCATTTTCAATAACAGCTAGCGGTAGCTGTTGATGAAAATGGCGGAATTACCTCGGAATACATGCAGGCAACCCTTGGAATTAATGCCATGTCGATTTCAAGAATTCTGGAGGTGAAGATGAACTTTAAAAAAATCTACAATACAGGCTTCTCATCTTTTTAGCCAAGATCAGAAAGTAGCCAGTGTGAAATTTGCACACACAAAAAACGCCACACAGGCATTTAATTTCTTTTGCCAAAGAATGTTTTTTTCTGAACAATATTGTATTTACTTGAGCATCCTTGATTGTAAGATGCACACTCAGGTTTTCCAGTCTAAAATTTTGATTAAATTGCATCCCCAACCAGGACAAGCACCCCATTTTAAAGACTCTAAAACTGCAACATTTCAAAAATAAAAGGCACAAACATTAGAAATTATAACATAAATTTACCCTCAATTCAACTAAGTCAAAATGGTTTTAATGAAAATAAGTTTTTTAATCAAATTGGTTCAAGTTTTCCCACTATAATCAAGTATATAATGCAGACCTCAGCTTCCTGACCTTTTGAAAAATGTGTTCCCATCCATGATGCGAACCCCCATTTTTTTCCCTCTCAAATTTTAGAAAAAAGGTAGGTGCTTACTTGGTGCTCCAGTAAATACCTTACTGTTTTTCAGCTCAATCATACGCCATTTCAATTTCTATCCCAAGAACTTTTGTTAGACCCCTTATAAGAATATATCGGTCTCACCTTTTCTGCCAGTGTTTTATACTTCTCCACTTCGGCATTCAAGGTGTGAACAAGGACTTCAAGATGGTGGATCCGCTCGTCATATTCAGCCACGTTTGCAGCATGTTCTCCTCTGAGCCCGAACAACTCCACTTCCCTCTTCTTCTCCTGCTTGTCCAGGTTCTCCTTGTGCTCTCTCTTGAGTCCCATGACTATCTGTTGCAGCTCTGTTTCAGAAAAGAAACAAAACCGAATTGCAACCCTCAGTATACGAATAATGTCAAACAAATCACAATGGATCGATGTGTGGCACATCCGATTGGGAAACATTCAACAATGCAAAGTGACAGGATGAATAAAGTCATGCGAAGAACGAGGGTTGGTTCGCAGATTTTTTTTCAGCGTTACGATTCCCTTATGTCTCGTTGGATCCGAGAATCCAAAAACAATTTTTATTTGCTCATTTATCACCAGTTTGATTGCATGCTCATCCATGTTAAAATTATAATAAAAATTGAGGAAATTAGGTTTTCCAACACTCGCAAGTTTTAGTAATTTGGAAGTGGCTCAAGTGCTATAAAAAAGGCAAACCTCCCCAATCCGAATTTCAAGTCAATCCTCATCAGATTTTTTCAAGTCCATGCAATTTGAACCTTCCCAACTCACCAAGGTTCTGGTTCAAACCTTTGTTATTCAAATTGTTAAGTTCTTCTGTTATTAAATTGTGGCTAAATTTTAGAACACCATGGAATATATGTCCTGTCCTCAAAACAAAAATGAATAAATGCAAATTGCTTCCTTCATACTCTCCATAAAAATTCAGGCAACTTCTTGCGAGGCAGGAAATTTATGAATAATGAAACAGTTCTAATTAATTGGCCAGAAAATAATTCCCATTAATTAACCTACCCAAATTCTTTCAAGACTCAAAAACTCCCTTGAGTCAAATTTGAAGGGACTATGAAAAATTGAAGAGGTTCAACTTCACCATAATTAAAATGCTGCAAAAAAAATCTCCTAGGTTGACAATGTCTATAGGATTGGACGACCATGTTCCAATCATCTGGACAATTTTTATGCAAGCTATTTTGTTTGCATTGCTGGTGAGGAATACATTTTTTTCAAGTCAGGCCCACAATTAAAGATAACCCTTCACGAATAAACGCAGAACCTTGCTTTGAATCTTTCTATTGGTCCCATAGAGATTGGGAGAACTCCAACTCAGAAACTTGGGTATCACAATAACCAGTTGAAGATACAATACATTGTCTCACAGTACAGTTCAACCTCTTGAATACAAAAACCTCCCCAACTTGAAAGTTGAATTTCCAAGGAATCGCTGGCCAATCCTCTATAAACTCAAAAGGCTATTGTTTTTCAACCCTCTACAACACGAATAATTTTTACTATCACGTGAGACGCATTGTAAATGGTCTTTCGGTAACTGAAGATGGGCTGCATTTTTAAGACACCTTTTCAAGAAACCCAAAGGCAACAGATGTAAATTATAACTTCCATGCTTTCAACAAGAGATCAGGCAACTTCCTGCAGATTGGAAATGTCAAAATTGAGAAGACTTTCAATAATTATAACGAATATTAATCTCCTCTGATTTACCAACACAAATTAGGCCTATGGGGAAATATCCCCATTAAATATTTTGGAGCCACTTTCAACTACGCAAACAAAACTTTAGAACCATCCCTTCAAGAGAAAAAATTCAATTGAACTTGAAAGCGGGGAGAAGAAAGTCTACATGCAGGCATGCCAGTAAATTGAAAATGCGGTCAAACCTCATTAGCAAACTCAGAGGGACTCACGAACACTCGAATTAGGGACTTTTTTTTAGATAGGGAAACCAGAATATTTGGCAGGTTAAAAAATAAAATCATAAGGAGGTGGATTTGGTTGATATACTGGGCCTGTAAATGCTGGATAAATGAATTGACAGGATGCTGAAGTTGGAGGCAAGGGTAAGTTTGCCCAAGGATTCACTCACTTCTTTTGAACAGCAACAAGTTACATTTTCTTTACTTTTCTCTTTTCTGGGACCCCAGAAATGCTAGAATGATAGCCCGGAGGTATCCAAAATTTTGAGTCATGCAGAAGTTTGAGGGGCAAGATATTTTGAGTTACAAGGCAGTGGGGGGGGGGGGGGGGCCTCAAAATGCGGACAATTTGACTTAAAACAACTGATCAACTCAAAAAATCTGCTCAACATTCATCTCCAGATTTGAATGAATACATTTAAATAAAAAGGAAACATTTTTCTTCAAGATTTGAAAATCTCTCGATTGAAAAAAATGTTAAAAATTAATTTTCAAAAAAATTGTAAAAGTTTTAAAAATTCCCCATATTCCTAACCTCAAACGGCTAATTTTGAGCTAATTTTCACGTGATTTAATTTTGAGCTGGTTAATTTTTCCAGAGTTCTTTCCATTATCAGTGCACAATAAAAGAGGACGTATGCTTGTTATTTGGTTTTTTTAAGCCAAAAGATCAGAGTTTGTGTGTGTTTTTTTTGCACAAATATTGTCTTTACCTTGAATGTGAGAAAAATTATAACTATTTCTTGAGGGACTTTTCCTTGGTTTCTGATCAACAGCAGAACCAATTAAATATACAGCTGGACTCTCTCTACAACAATCTTGTTTACACCGAATTTCTCTATTTAAAGAAGTTTTTCTGGTCCTGTGGAGTTTCATCCCCATTTTAATGTTTTCTCTTCAATGAACTTTTTTCTGCCCCATGAATTTCGTTGTAGAGAGAGTCCACTGGTATTCCCATTGAAGTCTATGGAAAACTGTGATCCAACATGCAGACACGGACAAATACCAAGTACCAATCATGTCCGAATCTTGGGGCACCACTGCCTGAGTGGGGAAATTGGTGCACACTGCGGATTTGTTCGTAATTCTACACAGTGACCCTGCTGTGCACCTGAAGTGTACCAAAGTTCTTACCTGGAATGGTAGCAAAATTTCCTCTACAGGAGTGCACACTTGCAACCCCAGAATATCCCATATGCACCAGTTGTGACCCTGGTGTGCACCTACTGTGGGGTCACATCAAAAATAGCTCCCCACTTGGGATGGGTATCGGTTGTAAAGGAATTCGGGCAGGGACTAAAAAAAAAATTGACTCTGGGAGGTCCAACTTGGCAAGAAAAACTGAGGAACAGGTGACAGTGAGCAAGTGGCATTGAAAAAAACACAAGTAATGATGCAATTTCGCTCGTCATGCAGGCCAGGGCTAAAGGACCTTCATCATCAGCGCCCTCTTGTGGGACACAAGACACACTCGCAGTCCTGAGCTTCTTATTGTTGCCCAGCAGAACCCTGGCGTTGGGCACATCCCCTCGGGCAAAGGCACCCACAGCCAGGCTCACGGCACTTCCACGCCTCACAACACCCCTGTCTCGCACATTCTCTTCCCAGTCCTCAATCTCGGGGATCTCCCCGACGATCGTGGCACTGGATTCACTCGGGGAATCATCGGGGAATGTGTCGGTGTCACAGGTCGGACTCCTGTCCGCAGCAGCCGGTGTCTTCGTGAAAGCTTTTTTTGTTAATTTCCCCAAGCGAAAAAGAGCAGCACGAAAAAAAAAAAAGAAGCATCCAAAACCGTCACCAAATTCTCAAAAGGTTCCCCCGCCCTTTTTTTTGGAGCATCGCGAGGAAATTCACCTGCTTCAGTGTATTTAGCCCCTCGTTTCGGGGTTGCCTCGGAGTTGATCACAGAGTTCCTCTGGGATATCTTGCCAAGGGCGGCTGGAAGTCGAGACGGAACTTCACTGTGTGCCCAGTAATACATGAGGTCGGGCTGGGAAAAGACAAAAAAAAAAACAAAAAAAACAACATCAAATCAACTGAACTCGGCAAATATTCTTTCCGGCCAAAATCCGCACCCTGAAGTCGGGTTCCAGGGGAGCATTCGGGTCATCAATCTGCTTCATGACCCCTGCAGCCAGGAGGTGAGTGCAAAACTGGGTCACCATGATCTTCAAGTCTTGCTTCATCAGCAAGTTGCACAAATAGTGATCCTCCCCAAGGGAACTGATGAACCAGTTGATCACTTGGTAGCCTGCACATATATTGAGGTAAAAATCGTCCAAATATTTAGTCAGCATTCGGAAATGACCAGCAAGTATCACGAGTACAATCAGATAAGAGAGAATTAACTTCCTCCCGAGAAAATGAATGGAAACGAAAGGTCCTGTAAGGTTAAACAAAAAAAGTGCTGAGTGCAGTACCGCATCAAATCATCTTCGTGAAAGCATTATTCGATGTCGTTAAATTCAACAGTAGAAAGATCGAATAATGTTACGGGGCACTTGATGACCTTCTTCAATAACCCAATTTTATCAGGGGCAAAACCTTATTTTCGCCTATCTTCAGATGAGTTCAACTGCAGGACACTCCTCAATTAGTTTCTAGATTATGGTGAAATCCCGTAACAACAAAGTTCGGGGGACTCGAAAAAAATTTCATTATACCGAATGATTCGTTGTTTCGAGATTCTCAAAAGTCAATGATTGGAACGTTTTCAAAATTAGACCTGCACATTTTCGGGATTATGCTTTACTGGAATTTCTGGATTTTTATTTTCGTTTGAAAAAACTCTGATTTTCTCAGAAAAATACCTGCCACCGATGTCAACAATCAACAATGCCATTTCCCTACTCTCTTCAGCAGATCATATGTTTCTTAAAAATTTCACAGACAGTATTCAACCTTGGCAATATCTTGAGCTTTCATGAATATTACATTGTTGACAATTTATCTGTTATGAAATATAAAACTGAACAAGTTAAATGAGGTCTTCTTGTGAACTGTAAAGTTATCTAAGCCAGTGTCCTCCAACCCGTGGAAAAATTTCTTCCATATAATAAATATATTAAATTTAGTAATGAAGTCTGTTATTGAAATTCAAAATTTTGGAAAGACAAGGGCAGTTGAATCATCTGAGGAAAAATAAACTTCGGCTTTTCCATTAATAGTACTTCAGGTACATTTTCACCTGCTGAAATACTGTACTGTACTGTACTGCATAAAATTTCGAGTTTTCTATCTGAGAAACCTTCCTTGAAGCCCAGCATTCTATTTTTCAAGTTATTCCACTACGAAGAATAGTTGCTTCATTGATTCTTGACTTCATTTTTGCAATAAAAGTTCCTCTAAGAACCGTATGGCAGGTACAATATTTCAAAATGTTCTGCTGGTCGTCAAAAATTGTATGGAATGATGCCGGTCCGCGAAAAATTTCCATGAAATATTACGGGTCCGCGAACGATTTTACTAAAATTTGCCGGTCCGTGAACCAAAAACAGGTTGGGGAAAACTGATCTAAGCAATTCCTGCCCCAGTTCCCAGATCGTGGATTCCACATCAAACATCCACGCTCCAAAATACCGCAGTACTTCTTGTAACTCGATTAATTTATTTTTTGGGGGGCTTAGAAGAAATTATTTTCAAACCCCCCCCCCCCCGCTCAATTTTGAAAGATTTTTCGTGTAACTTGAAAGCATCTTTGTCCTTGATTCAACTTTCTGTTCAAGGAACAAATCACAATCGGCAAGACACATTTTAGAATTTGCTTGCCTCAGTTAGGAAATATCAAGAAAATACCAACATGCTCCTCAAACAACATCAGTTTGAAAATCAGGAAAAATTAGACAATAAAGGTGCAATTCTTCCTTTTCTTACAAATTTGTGAAATTCAGTAAGTCAAGAGGACAGCTTTGTGAGGATCGCTTCAATTTCATATTAATCTGTGCCAACTTTTCGATTTTATGCTGAAGAGTAGGAAAGATTAAACAGCTTTTAAGCTTTATAATTGTCTTTTGGCGAGTGCCTGGGACAGAAAGTTGAATAATTTTCGATGCAAATAAATAATTTAAAATGATAATAAAATAAATAGTTGAATAATTTTAAGGGAATAGGGAAATTTTGTGTTCCATTCCGCACAACGAAACGCATGCAGGAACGGATTCGTTTCTTTGTTCAAGGACACGCTCCACATTTTCCCCGTCTTTTTTTCTCTCTCTCTCCCCCTTTTTTTTTTAAATAACGAAGGACAACGAGAAGTGATCATCAAGTGCCATCTTAATTACGGCGACACGCATCGAAAGGCGCCTGAGAAGCCACATTTCCCCCTTCTCCCACGATCCGAAGAAGATCTTTCCCATGGCGTCTCCGTTCGGGTTCAATAAGTGACAACTCGCCTTCGAACTTGTCATAAATCTGGAAGTCGAGTTTCTCCGGGACTTTGGACTTGCGCACTTTGCCCACAGCATCCCCGATGGTGAGAGAAGCCACCTTCCTGAGCACATTCCCAGTCTCCACGTCGGATGCCGTTGATGAGGCCGTTGATGATGTTGACCCATGATGCCTCTCTCCTGTGAACACACGCAGAAAAAAAAAAAAAAATGTCAAATGGGGGTCACTCGCACATTCTCAGCATCCACAGGAAAAGGAATTCCCCTCCAAAAAAAAAAAAGAAAGAAAGCACAACATATCCACAGGTGGACATGACACGAAATTCCGACAGACGAGTCTTGAAAACCAGGATGATGCGAAATGTACACGCCAGCTGTTGCAATTGTCTTCACATAGATGTCACTAGAATCTATTCCACGGGCATATACACTCCCAGTCGAATTTCAAGGGACCAGGAAAATAATTCAAGTCAGGAAGGTTTCGAGTTAGGAAAACGGCATTTTTGTTAAGGTGAAGATGTAAAAATTGAAAATGGTGATATTCTGGGCCTTAAACTGCTTCTGAAATGAGTTCACAGGATGCTGAACCTGGAGACAAAGGGTTCATTTGCCCAATTAGTCTTTCATTTCCTTTCAAAACACATAAAGTAACCTTTTTACTGCTTTTTTTTTGGAGTTACAGTAGTAAATAATAGCCAAAAGGCCTCAGAAAATTCTAGTTAAGGAGGTTTGAGAATAAAAGCCTTCTCCTTAATAGAGAGGCTTTTAATGCATTGTTTCTAAGGAAATTCGGTACTTACCTGTTATCTCTGTACCTCATTCCTAGACTGCACTACCATCCAGACAAATCTTTAGGACAAGTTCATAATCACAACAACCTACCAGAAACTGTTAATTTTATGTTTCCACATTCTACTGAAACTGATTTTGGGAGGAGGTTAGGTAAAGTTAGGTTAGGTCAGGTTATGTTAGTTACAAATATCTTTTAATTAACATAACCTGACCTAACCTTTCTCCACTGTCATTTTCCCCAGGACGCTTCTACTCGACATAATAAACCCAGGAATGAATTACTGTCACAACATGACGAACAACTAAAATTTCGGATACTTCCGGTAAATCATGAGCCACAATCACAAGCTGAGCGGTGAATTCCATCAATTAAAAGATGATTTGTAGGGTAGGTTTCGTACAAGGAATCAAGACGCAAGTTTTCGGCAGATTTCCATTTGAAAAAAAGCGTTCGACAAATGCCAAAATGTGTGGTTTTTTTTAAACCTTGACTTTGATTTACTCGCTTTTTTTCAGAAATCTTGAATAATAAACAAACATCAGATTCCAAGTATTTCAGGTCAACAGAAAAATGCAATCGCAAACTTCTTTCTTGACGCTGCGATCCGTCGTAAAATACAGTACTGTACTGTACAAGTACATATCGAAGGTCATGAAACCAAAAATCCCCATCAGTCATTATTCCCGTAAAATGCTTCAATAAAATAACGGTACAAATCACTCCAAGCCGGACTTCGGGGGGGGGGGGGGGGGGGGGGGAAAAAAAAAAAAAAAAAGGGGGGGGGGGGGGGGGGGGGGGGGGGGGGGGGGGGTGGGGGGGTTAAATAAAAAAAACAATTGTCACGCTTTCAACATTTTTAAGGGAGAAAAACAAATGAAGTAAAAGTCGTGAACATGCGTGAAAACACTTCAACCACGCAGAAAAAGTGCTGTACTTTCTTTTTTTTTGAAACGAAGAAAGGACAACAGCATCATCAGAATTACCGCAGTTGATGAGCCTTCGACAATAACTTTCGTCTAAAATCTTTAAAGCTGTTTCAGGGTTTACACGGGCAGTAGATAATTGTTGATTTCAAACGCAAAAATGCGCTACATTAGCATTTTTTTATTTTACAAAGCCGACTTGAGCTAAAAAAAATGAAATATTCAGCCCTTGTTGTCCAAAAAACTATTAGAACAATTGAAGCAACTGTGGTGATCAATCACTGTCTTGCCTTATTGTTACAGTTGAGACTTTGAGTCAGAGGTTTAAATTGTTTTCTTCTGCAACTTCTGAAGGAAACGCAAAAGTTCATCTGCAAGAGTATATCAAGTAGTTTTTATTTTATCTGTCACACAGAAGATACAAATTTGACTGGTCAGAGTCAGGTGCAGTAAACTTAACTCAACATAAAATACACCTGTATATATAGCTTTGGTTGTTCAAGGTCAATAAACGTGCATAGAAACTGATTTGGATTGAGGGTATCACACTTCATTTCTTTAAAAGGAAAGAAGCATGATTGCAGTTGGGAAAGTATTCCGTCAACAATGGGATTAAGAAATATAATTGCTAGCGTATTAGTTGCAGCCAAGCATAGAGAAAATACAATAGCTTTAAAGGGTCATACATAAAGTGTTGTATGTTGTAGTTGTTATTATGACTACACCCTTGAACAGTGGCAAAAGATGAATTCAAAGATTATCAAATTTTAAATATAGAATATTCAACCTTTCAATACACCAACCCGGCATAGGAATACATTTTTCAGAGAACAAAAATCCTGTTTTTTTGTTGTTTTCGATACAATGTGCTTAAAACGATGGCACAGTACCACAATGAAAACCAAAGAAACGTTTAATCTCACGAGGCAAAAAATGAAAGACGTACAATATTATTCCTCGATGCAAACCATGTTTTCACAAGTGCACGGATTCCAGTACTGTGTACCGCAGTCATGAACCGGAATTCAAGCACCGGAGCAGAAATTCCCTTGTCTCTAAAATTTTAATTGGTTCCAGTCCACGAACAATCGGGCAACTTCTTTCCCCGTGAAGAAAAACTAATCAAAATTAATATCAACTGATAAGAATCCCATGGCTGAAACACATTTACAACGAAACACAAGTCATAGAAAGAACTGCGGACAGAATTCGATTCTTCCCACTTGAACACCCACTGGATTCGACTCGCACGATTTTTTTTTTCAGGTATGCAAGTGTTTACTGAACTTTTAATCCTTTTTTTATTGGTGCAAGTTGCATTACGTTCACTTAAATTGGCGCAGTCAGCTCAGTTTAGTTAGAGTTCAGCTATAAGATGCACATCACGGTGAAAATTTTCGAATATTTAAAATACAACCACTATTATCCATGCCGAGAAAAACTAAGAATGTTTCAAAAACGGGTTTATTTATCACAAAATCCTGTTGGCCTGAATTGCGGACCAAATTTGAATTTGCATGAAAAATTCTTTTTTGCATGCAATTGTAATATCGCTCAATTAAATACACGGCGTCCGATCAAATGGCTCTAGATTTTAAGCGGATTTTTCAAACTAAGAAATAAAAGTTCATCCGAGAAAAAAAAATCGTCAACATACAGGGCCCCGAGATGCGGACATAATCGGTTCTTGGACCAGGTCCATATGCTGGAACGTCCGCATGTCAGATCACGTCTTCCCACAGATTTCAATGGAAATTTTCGAGAACGATTTGAAGAAGTTTTCAACAATTTATGGAAGAAACGTTTTTTTTTTTTTCAAATTGAAGATCCAAACAGTTACTGTGCAGAAGAAACCCACAGAAAATCTGCCGTTCCGACATGGGAAGGAGTTCGAAAGGAAATAAAATCATGCGCACAAATGATGGAAAACACAAATTTGCTTCTTCCGCATTTTAAATTAAGAGTAAATTTATAATCAGATATATTTCCCTTTTTCAATCATAGAAATACAGTGAAACCCCCAGATGCGGACGCCTCGACCTCCGGACGATTCGACATAGGGACACTCATTTTCCCAGAAAAAACAATAAATAAGGCCCAACATGAGGACACCAACTCAACATAGGGACATTTTGTGATAAAATTGCAAATACATTTCAGGCCAAATTACAAGAAATAGATATTTCCAACCTTAAAATTGATTTAAGAAAAGTTCTTGGGCATTTCTCTCACCAAATTACCATCCATTTAGCTAATTAAAAAAAATTACCTCCAGANATATTTCCAACCTTAAAATTGATTTAAGAAAAGTTCTTGGGCATTTCTCTCACCAAATTACCATCCATTTAGCTAATTAAAAAAAATTACCTCCAGAATAGAGGGACTTCTACTTTGTTTTCACTTGAATGTTATTTTTGTAGATGCCAAAATTTCAGTGTTCAGTACAGAGATCCACTATTCAATGCTCCAATCCAAATGTTCTTATTGAGCTGAAAATATATTCTTTGATTCAAATTCAAGTGGCAAACAATTTGTTTCAGGGAATTCTGAAGTATATTTCCTCAATAAAACACAAATTAAAAATAGTATAATGTAAGTCTAAGGGAAAACAAGACTCGACTTAGGAACGCTGTTTATGCACCAATTCCGTCCGCATCTCGGGGTCTCACTGCTCAATTCGCTCGAGCCATGAAACATTTCTGAGAAACAAATTCTTTCTCTTTCCTAGAAATGTTGGCATTGTCCGCAGATTTTTTTTTTTTCAACTTGCAAGTGTTGCTCAGTCGATTTGTCCGCATTCCCTCAGCGTAATTTTAAATTATAGATTGACGATCCACAGGGGCTCGATCGTTTGGGCTTTTCGATGATCCTGAAGAAGACATTTTAGTCATTAGCCCGCATCGGCATTGCATCGTGTACACAACAAAACAGCTCGATTTTGTCAAGATCCTCGAAAAAATAGGCGGTTCGTGCACGTGCATCACACCGGCGACGAAAACGTGACTGACTGACTGACCGATTCCCCCCAGGGCACACGATTCTAGGCATTTCATTCGCTTGTCCCACTGTATTTCACTTTGCATCCACGCGTTCATTCATTCATTCATTCATTACTGTCCGCGACTGGAATGAGAGGAGGAATTAACGGGAGACAAGGCGTCCTTCTGTCCCAAAAAAAAAAAAAAAAAAAAAAAAAAAAAAAAAAAAAGAAAAAAAAAAAAGCACCAAAAAAAAAAAAAAAAAAAAAAAAAAAAAAAAAAAAAACGAAAAAAAGAGAGAAAGAAAACAGTGCTCCCCATCGGGACTGTGACCCGTTCCATGTTCAAGATACCCAGAGGGGAATTGAAAAAAAAAATAGATGAATAGAATATTCCGAAACGGAGGAGGAACAACTTGATGATACACCGGGTCTCACTCAGGCGGGCTAATTAACGCTCCAGATCCGACTCACTAAACCCGAATTCTCCGACGGAATCGAGCGTTCAAAGAAAGAAAATCCCAGAAAGCAACGCATCCGGAAAGCCCCTTCAACGATGGAATCCCCCGATGGGTCACCTCAGTGTTCCCCCAACCTTTTCAAGTCCGCGGACCAGAAAATTCCACAATTTGTATTTATTTATTTTTTTGCCGCGGACTGGCAAAGTTTCAAGATATATTTGTAGACTCAAAAAGGTTTTGTTTGATAGAAATTTATGGCAGGTATTTAAAAAATTTCTGCTTTTTTAAAAAATTAAGTCAAGGACAAATGAAGCAGCTTTGGTGGAATGTCTTCAAAAAAAGTAGGAAGGTGGGCTTGAAGAAAGGTTCCTCAGAATGAAAAATTAAAATAGTTTATTTCAGCATGTGAAAAATTGCTTGAAACGTTATCATTAGGATGAAAGCCAACTTTTATTTTTCATCAGATACTGTAAATTCAACTGCCATTGTCTTTATAAAATTTCAGATAAAGATACCAGACTCATCAAAGATTCTCTGTAATTTGTTCATTCAACTAAACCTCATACATAAACAAGCTGAAGACCTTGTGCTTTAAATTAACTTTTACATATATTTTGTTGCAATTGTCTTCACATAGATGTCACTAGAATCTATTCCACGGGCATATACACTCCCAGTCGAATTTCAAGGGACCAGGAGGAAATCTTGATTGAACCTTGTGAACGCTGAAAAGTGGCAAATAAAGTGTTCTGTTCATTCATTCAGATACCAGACTTCTGGTAACTACTGTACTTTAGATCAATTTATTGTGCTGAAAAAAATTTGTGGGCGAAGTTGGGGAACACTGGTCCACATCATTAGAACAGATTTC